CTATTTATATTTTAAAAAATATATATTAAATTTTCTTATTCGGAATATTTTGTTTTTTTAATAAATAAAAGACATATTTTTCTGTAATTAAAAATCTATTCTCGCTTACAGAGAGTTTACATCTTACTAAACTTTAAAACCGTAAACTTTTCACTGTTCCGATAAAAAAAAGACAATTTTTTAGTAGTGCTATTATTAGCTGTTTTAAATATGGCATTTTTAATGTCACATTCATGTAGGAAGATGATTTTCTATTTAAATTACGACCTTATAATTTTTGCAGATTTTTTTATTTTGAAATTTGTAACTAAATTAATAATTTTCAATTTTTTGTGTTTTAATTTGAATTATGATATTTATTGATAATTCAGTAATATGACGAATTAAGAAGTTTATTGAATTATATGTTGTGTATAAAAATAAATTTAAATTAGTTGAACTTTAATTATATAGGGTGTAAAATGTCGTATAATAAAAATAAACTAATATCAATAAAATTTACTTGTAGAATTTATTTTTTATTTTTTCCAATCTCACATTATTTTTGACCGATTTTAGGCAACAAAACCTAGAACGCGACAGCAATAATTATGTAAATAAAGATGGTTGATAAAAAAAACATTTTATCAATTTCAGATTATTATTTCATAAGTAGTAAGTATTCTGCTATATTTAACTTATACTGATTGTATGTTATCGGTGAAATATCGATATTGTTATTCTGGACTGACTCATCTTCTTGGGGGTTTTATCCCATGAGTTAGTGTTGCAACCTTATATTTTTATAACTAATTATCAATAAAACTAATTTAATATAAGGGGCTTTTAATTATAATTGTTTAGATATTTTAAAAGAAAAAGATAAATGTTTGTGAAAACTATAAAAACAAAATAAGATTGCTATAATAATATATTAAGTACTATAATAGTGCTTTTTTTTTTTACCTTAAAATAATGGCATTAAATAATATTGTTGACAGAAATTTGATGTATTTTCATTCTTTAAATGATGCACCAAATTATTATAAAAAATCAACAATGTATTCTTTATGCAACAAAAACCTTGGAACTAAGCAGGAAATCGCTTAATTCAAGTTATACTTACCTAATTATTACATGGTTTATATGAAATGTATCAGGCTGTGAAGTTGATTCTTATAGGACACCAAAAAACATTAGTGAAAAGTATTTATTATGTATATATTTTTTGATTCTCTTTATTTCTGTTTTTTTTGGTACTTTTTTAATTGCCTTATGATTAAATAAGCATTTTTAAATATAAGAATATGTTAAAATCTTCTCCTATAAGCGAATGTTTGTTTGCAAGAGAAAATTTAATATATAATTTTTTTTTCTGGTTCTACAAACTAAAATGATGGTTAGTTCAACCGCTATTTGACAGATTGATAATTCAATATTACTGAAATAAATAATTGCAATCGTCGCATTCTAGGTTAATTTTTTTAGAATCGCCTAAATAGATCTGAAAAATAGAATGGTTAAAATAATTTATATCTGATCAATATTAATTTAAATTATTGTAGTTTTTCATTTTACTCTGTTAAGTTAAGTATTATCTTATTTATAGAAAATATGTAACTTTATCTATATTTTAACAAATTATAAAGTTTGACTTTTGATTAATTAATAAATCTTATCAAACGTAAAAATCAAAATTTAATCATGACTTAGAGATAGTATTTTAGATTTTTAAATTTAAAAGTCAAAATAAAACCCGATTAAATTTTCGTATTAAAATTCTACAAAAATATACGATTTTTCTTTGACATTTCTTTTTTTTTACATGAGAAGTTTTTATTATCTTTATTTTTTGGGTTATTTTTCTATAATGTAATTTTATTTATTCAACGATAAAAAGTTTTGAAAATAAAAAGCAGCTAGATGCTAATGATAATGTATCAGTATTGTGGATAATTTGTTAATTTTAAAAAAAATTGTATACAAATTTTTAAACTTTGTTTGGTAAATTTTATTTTGTGATTAAACAATATTTTTTTAACAATTAAGTGTATATTGGAATAGATGTAGATTTTTCAATTTTTTTTGTTTTTGTTTTTACCTTGTGTCATATATTATACATTAAACTGTTCAGTATTTTTAGTTTTTTCTTTTTGATATACAAAAATTTGATATTAATGTTTGATTTTCACAGTGAAATGTGGTATTAAATTTACAGTTCAAATTTTATATCCAAGATTTAATGTTTATATAACCAATAATGTGTAAAAGTAGAATTTTAGAAAGAAATTTACCAAATTCGAAGAAACTTTGAAGATTGTATTTGTGAAGTCGAATGTGATTCTAAATAATTTTTTTATGATTATTGTTAGTTCTTAGCTCTCTAAGCTATTTATTAAAATCTTTCAAAATAAATTTTTGATTTGATATGCTATATAATCAAATAGACAGCACATGTTTTTTTTATTTTTTTTGGTATTATAAATTTATATTTAAAAATATTAATAATTACAAAAGTAAAAAAATTGAGTAAAATTTTTAAATCGGATGTACTCACTTGTTGAATAAGTATATTCCGATTTTTTTTAAAAAACCTCAAAATAAAAAATTATAAATAGAAAAAAAAATCAAAATCTAAAACAAAACAATTATTATAAAACTTCTAAAATATATCAATAAAGGATTTTAAGCTTCTTTTATGTTATCGAGTAATTTTTTTGTTTCCTCCTCAATTTTTCTAATATCTTCGATAGTCAAATCGTACCAGTCGTCCATCTGACAGAACATCTGCTGGTGACTTGTCGCAAAAATTTTTCTCAACTGCTTTTCGACTTCATTGACGAGCCAACCCAAGCCAAAACAGTTAATTTCGATAGAAACCTGTTTATAACACGTCATTAATGGGATGTTTTGTTTCTTGAAATCTTCGATCCAACCTTTATGCAACGGGCCGATTTTTGCTTTCTGGCTGATATAATCGGACGGCTTGACTTCATATTCGCCATCAACTGCAATGTCGATGTAATCTACCTTTGTGTTTTTCCAGATATTTGCAGGCATTTCGTTTATGTTGTCTTGGAAGTCGACACCGTCTACGTGCACGCTGTTGACAGTCATTTTGAATGTATTTTCGTTGAAATACTTGTTAGTATATGTTGTTGAGCATTTAGGATACGCGTTGTATGCCGTTTCAACGAGTTTGAGAGCATCATTGGACGGCATGCACTTTCTGATGATATACGGCACTTTGGAGTTGAGATTGAGAATTTTGTGTGTTTTGCGGCAGTGACCGAGAACTTCATGGTCGTAGTCTTTGTTTTCTACTATTTTGATAGACGTGTCGCCTGTGCTTTCGCTTTTGCTGAGAGCAGCGACTGTGTATAGCTGGCAGATGTTGTATTTCTGCGTGGTTATTGGCATTACAATCCGGTATTCCTTGTGAATTATTGTCATTTTTGCAAGAAATATGGGTTCTTTTTTAAATTATTCTTATGGCTTTTGATTGGAAATTGCGACAAGTAAATTTCTTATATTTCATATTTGTTCACAAATCTCCTTTTTTGTTTCTTTATTTGAATGTTGCTATTGGATTATAATTAAAATAAATTTTTTTATTTTTGACTTTATCTATTCTCGATATTTTTTATCTTTTTTTCCAAATAAGATTTTGTGAATTCGTAATAATTAAAAAATATTATTGGTTTTTTGGAAGTAAAAATTCAAATTATTAAGTATGGACGATCCATAAGAAAGTGTTGAAAGATTTCATTTACTTATATTGCATAATAATAAAATTTTACCATTATTGTTATCATTTAAATTTTCTCACCATTGTGATAGACAATTTCATATGAAAAAATAGAAAAAATATAATTTGTATTACATAAATAATGTATAATTTTCAGAATTTAAATACATTTGTATACATATAAAGAAAAATCCAGGCAAAACCGAATAAATGTTTAATGAAAAGTTTTTTTGTTATCGAAAAAATCAATTTTGTGAGTTATTAAATTTTAGAAGGTTATTTAGTTGAAGAATAAAAAAATATAAGAAATATTTATAAAACTATTTATTCTTTAATTATACTTGTTCTTTATATCTTTTTATGCCGATTTTTGACTTTTTTTATTGTGAAATCAATATTGCTGGATTTCTCGAAAAATTTATATAATAAATATAAAGCAAATTTTGAAATTTTGTCATTGAATTGTGTAATTGTTTACATGATTAGGTCATTTTTTAAAAATTCTGAACAGTTTGAAAATTTAAAGGGAATAAATTATTTATTTTTCTAAATGAGAATAATATACAAATAAAAAAAATGAGATAGATAATATAAAAAATCAAACATTTTTGATTTATACAGATTTTTCGTGAATTCTTGACTTAATAAATACAACAAATGTAAAAAATTGATGGTAAATACTTTTAGAAAACCTTACATATACAAATAAAATAATTCTTTTTTTATTTAGAAGTCTTGCATGGCAGTCTTGTAAAAAAAATTCAATTTGATAATTTTCAAAAAAAGGATAGATTTATTATTTATTTTATTTATAGATGCATGAATGATAACTTCAAAACATAGAAAAAAACAAATGAATTATATACAATTTTTTGTTTTTTAATGACTTTTTCGTTTCTTGGTCGTTTTATTTGGCTTTTATTACTAAACTTTTTTAGTTTATGTTTTCTTTTTTTATTCAGTGTCCCGCACACATTTAAATTTAGAAATTTTCATAACCTATTTGACAGTTTAATCTTTATTTTCTTATCATTTTAAAAATGTAAAAAATTTTTTACAAAATAAAGTGCTACTTAAATATATAGGAGGGTAAAAATATAATAGGATCGAGCAACCTCTTAAATTATGCGAATTTAAAGTTTAAAAAAATGTATCATGTAATATATTGATGAATTTCAGCATATATAGAATATAAATAATGTGTAATAGTTTAGCTTTTAACTTTAGTTTAATTAACACATAAAATATTTGGTGCACACATGCAAAAAATTAAAGCATTGTGGCGCAATGGTAGCGTGCTGGGCTCATAACCCAGAGGTTCGTGGTTCGAATCCATGCGATGCTAACGTTTTGCTATATATCTAGTTAAAAAAATAGTTTTAAAAGTTATCTTTATTAAAATTTTCAAAACAAATATTCATAGCAAATTTCATCATTATATATATTAATGTTGTAAATCACACTGAAATTATGCTTTTAAGAAAATGCTACATTCGGAATTTGACAACCTGGCAAAATTACAATATACAAGTTTCAATTTTGTCAAAATTAAAATGTTTAATACTTCTGTAACAAGAAGGGATTTGGTTGTATTGTAGGAAATACTCTAGAATGTTTAGTTCACTTTTCGAATTCCCTGAGAACGTTTCTTTATTATTCTCAACCAGGTCTCTTTCTTGGTCCATAAAATTTTTGTTAGAAGACAAATTATTATACATTTTTTAACGGTCATAGTTTATTTAAAATAATCCTTTATATTCAATTTGTTCCTGATTTTTCTTTGTAATATAAATATAATTTAAAAAAAATCAAGAAAGAATCATTAAAAACATAAAGGATAAAGATTCAGAATTTTTAACTATTTCGGCTTTGTGGTTCCAAGATTGGACCAAAAATACAGATGATATAATAATATAATAAATACATTTTATAACAGTTTTCTTAACTTCTTGTGCTCTAAAAATAGAGACAAGATTTGTTAAACACTGTGATGAAGTATATGCGCAGTTAAAGAGAGAAAAGAGTAATAAAAATTATCAGTAACACAAAATTATCTAAATATCAGTAAAGATGCTAAGTATAATATGTGCAATTAATGCAAATCTTTTCATGAATTATATTTTCTAAGCCGTTCATATAAGTACCCTAACATTACAGCTGTGTTTGAAACCTTGATTTTTTAAAATACAAATTTGCATCGACATTTATTAAATTTAATCTATCTATAGCAATTTTTTTATTTTTTGAAATTTATTTAACGATATCTATATTTATGTACTTTCTATTAAAAATCAAGATGTAATAATCGAGATATAAAATTAAAAATTTCAATCTAATGTTGTAATTGTTATTTCTGTGAAAAAAGCGCTTCATTGAATAATTCGAGAATATAATTTATTCCTTTTTCTAGATTGTTCTTTAATATAAGAAACAACATAGAACATAAAAAAATTAATACAATATTTTTAGACCTAAAAATATTTATGACATAAACTACATTGTAATAAATGATAATTCTATAACACATAAAACAAAGTTTATTTTTACTCTTTATTTAATTTATAGCCGACACCCAAATTCCGGGTTCAACAAACATTTTTAGATTTTTTTTTATATAAGAAATATGATATAAATGCAAAATCATCTATTTATATAGACGGGTACATATTTTTTATAGAAGTAATATCATATATTCTTTATTAATAAAACTTTTTTGTTATTTATCAATTTTCACTTGATACTGATAAAGCATAGAATAATACATAATCTTTTATTTTTGAATTTGAGTGCCCAGAAAATTTTGTAGCATTATCGAAATTTTACAATTATATATTTTTTATGTTTACCATTAGTATAAATAACTATGATTTTAAATTCGATTTACAAATTAGTAAAAAAAAATGCTTGTTTCCGTATTTTATGAAGAAGAGGTGAAAATTGTTGAAAAGAAAATCATATACATACCATTAAATGCCAATTTTTCCTATTATTTGTTTTAAAAAAATGTGTAAAACATATAATATTTCCGTCTTAAATAAAAATACGATAGAAATGTGATTATACTCAGAAATTGAGAATAAAATATTTTTAATTACTAGTTTTGTTGTGAATATGAGTTCTTGAGGTTGAAAATTACATTTTTAAATATCTTTAAATTTTAATATTTTTAAAATTTTTAACAGTAAAATACAAACACATTTTAAATAAACCTTTATAAACACATATATAATCCTATATATATAAATCAAATTATTTAGATTTTTCTATCTTAAAAAGAACAAAATATATGTTTTATAATCTTTAAATGCATTTTTTTAACTTCAAATAAATTTTCTGAATTTTATTGCTGCTGTAAAAGTGATTATATAACCTATAAATATATAAGATGTGACTAAAAAGAGAAAAAATATTTCCTCCACAAATTTATTATATGCAAAAAACAATTCTTATCATGATAGTCCTTGGTTTTTTTCGTCCATATATTCTTCATGGGTCGGCCATATTCTCAAACTCAAATAGTTTTAGATATATATCGGTTGATAATTGACAACTTATTTTTGGTGTGATCTATTTTGGAGATATATCATTAAAAATATCACTATTTTGAAATACCCTAGAATGTACTGAGCCGTATAAAGTTCATATTACCATTAAATGTTATTTTGTAATTTATAAATAAAAAAATGATATTATGCACTTAAATTCAAAATTTTTGAAATGTTTTAGTTTCATTAATATACAAAACTAATAGTATATAACAACTCACGGTTGAAAATTCTATTTTTTTATTCGTGGACTAAACAACTTTAATAGTTTTTCAAAATTGGCAAAATATGCTTATTTTTATAAAAGAAAAAAGTTGAAAATGTACATTTAATATACCATTTTTATTTTTTTGTTTCAATTTATTCGGATTATATTTTATATGCAATTTTAATAATAAGTATTTTCAATATTGGTTGTATTTCTTTTAAAAAAGGTTTAAGTAATGCATTCATATCGATTGTATTTAAAACTTTAAGGAAAAATGAATGTAAAAATAAATTTAAAACAATGCACCAAGACCGTTTTTTTTTGTTTTCCTATTCACTGATAAAGAACGTTAAATACACTTATCATGTTATAAAAAAGTATAAGAGCTTTTAAAAAACTGCTGCATAAAAAACATAAGATCTATGTATATTTAAGTATGTCACAAAACAGATATTGGTCACCAATAATATAATTTCTTTTTCTACATATAAAAATCAAAAAAAATATTAAATGTCTTGGTTTAATATGAAAATTAATTAATGCAACAAAATCAGAAGACAAAAAGATTACTCAATACACAAAGACTTATATTCTTCGATGAAATATGCGTTTTATTTTTTTTAGATTTATTTAAACATTCTAAAAACCACAGGTGTTTCGATTGTAGTTTTCACCATATTCGGTTAATACAGCATTTCAATTCAACATAAGTACCGTTATTTACAGAAAAAATTAGCAACTAAAAGAAACTTTATGTATTAATTACTGCTATCTATAACATAAACTGAATTAAAACTAGGATTTTGTGTTAATTTCAAAATTTTAAGTGGAATACTAACGTTATTTTAGATGACATCTACAGTATGATTTTTTAGCGCCATTTAAACTAGTTTAATATCGGTATGATACCAACCTAGACAATCATAAGAAATTTATGAAATCATAAATGATATATAAAATAAATATGACTGTAAAATAAAAAAAATGAATAACATAAAGAAAACTATATGAAGTATTAATCTTTATAAAGAATTTTCAACTGAAAAAGTTGTAATTGCTTTAAATTATTATACTATATATAAAACTGCAAATTTCCGTATTCAATTTAGTCAATCGCCACAAATTAAACATTTTGCAGTAAAAAAAATTCATACATAACATTCTAATTTTATGATTGAATACATAAAAAAATTAATTATATTACTATAGACCGATATAAGAGCATATTTATTTTGTTTTCTAAGTTTATTTCTATACTATATACTTATAGTTATATTTTTAAAAACTTATAATACATGTTTTAGATTTTATTATTTTTATGTTCATTTCTTAGAAAAAGCATCATGGAAAAGTTCATTGCGGATTCTAGTTGTATTTAAAACATAAAATATCACAAATATCTTTATCATAAATTTATTGTTTTAAATAAATAATCTTTTAAAACAAAAATTTTTATAATATACATTAATGGTTTTAATTGCAACCTACAGAAAAAAATTGCTCTATTAAGAACTGAAGTAAATGTGAACAGGTCCCGATTTGTGGGAAGACAGTTAGAGAAAGTGAAAGTGGCAAATTATGCCCATATTAGTTCATGACTTAAAAAATACTATAGGTCATACTGCGTTGCGATACTTCATCACAATTATTATCTCAGTATTATAATTGGTTTTTGAAAAAATCTTGTAACAAAAAATTCATGTGATTAAAAAAAATACTATTCAGATAAAATTAAAAGAGTATACGACATAGATATTTACCGTTTTAAATCTTTCAATACCATTAAAATTGTTTAAAAATGAAATTATGTGCGTGATTATTTTTTCTGGTTTTAAAATACTTAAAAGAATTATAGCAAAAATTATACCGTAAAGTTTTAGATTTTTACTATTTCATAAAAAAAATTTTATAGTTTTTTCTGGGTTAATAACCTTTCGGGACGAAAGCCATGAAAAACAGGATAAGTTCGTATTATATATATGTAAGCTAATATTGAATTTGTTTATTTTTTAATAAATAAGACACTACTAAAAATCACTACATATGGAAAATAATAACATTCAATATCTGCAAAACATAAATTTTTCGATTACGGTCTAATTATTTTCAATTTTATAATTTTTATTTTCTGTATATAAAATAAGTAAATCAAATAATTATTGTAGTAATGAAAATTTTATACTTTAAATAAAATTTTGTTTGTTAATTGAAAATTTAGATTCACAAAAAATCAAAAAGAAGCAATGATGCTTAAACATGATACTACCCTTAATTAATTGATTTGTTGTAAAATATTATAGTACAAAACAATTTTAGCGAAATATCACATTAAAAATTCTGTTTATGTATCTATTTTGGTCATTGCAAATTTGAATGATTTTAGTTCTTGCATAAGCAAGCAATAATGTTTTTTTTACTTAACACATTTGGTTTGTTTTTAATATTCTTTAAACATAGTTTTGGCATGTTTTGACATGTTTAGATATGTTCATCAATGAATAAAAAAAATAACTATAGAAATGTTTTAAATTCGTTATGCTTAAGCTATAAAAACATTTTCAAAAAATAATACGTAAATTAAATATTGAACAA